TATTCATTAAGATCCCCTCCTTCTTTGTTTTGAATGATGCTTTGATGATTCTGGATCCGTGAGACTCCCATCCTACAAGTGCATTTCGTGCTACTTTGGACAGCATAAGAGCGACTCCCTGAGTGTGTGGAGCATTTTGTTCTTCGTGACCGGAGTATAGCAGCATCTCTCCCGTAGCTAGCCTTTTCTGTCCAGCTTGGGTCCAGTGGGTTTCGCTGATTCCCAGTACTGCTAAGTTGTATCTCCTCATTTCCATTGCTATTTGACTGGTCTTCCCGGTTTCCCACATTGTTCGAACGTTCCATGTACCTATAAAAATTTTTGCTCTGGTTGTTAGAAGGGGCATCGGCCTCGTGGCTTCCGAAGGAACTCGGCTTTCACCATGAAGCGTCATAATTCTTCTAACTGAAGACCTTCTAACTCCCAGGGCAGAGTTTAAATGGTTTGGATTATTTTTTCTGGTAAGCGTTTTTTTAGCGAGTTAGTTTTCTACGGGATGGGGACGCTAACCCCATGCCCAACCCTCCTCCTTTACCCGGGCTTGGGACCGGCAGTAACCCTATAAGAGCTACAGGCGGAGTTTGACGTCTCCCAAATAGGAAGAAATGCGCGTCCTGGATTCCACTACTAGCCATTATCCATCATTGCTTAGTTTGAAATAGTTTAGATTATTTGATTGTTCATATTCTTTACTGAATTTTGATTATTCTATTCAATTTATGTGAATTACCTTAACATAGTTAATAAATTTAAAGTATTACAAACAAGGGTGAATAATAGTTAACAATGAAATCCCATAAGAACATTTCGTTCGAATTCAAAACTTATCATCTTGAACTACATGTTACTTTTCAGAGTTGACAATCATTTCACTACTGAAAATCTAATCATTTCAGCTTTAAAATGCATCATCCATCTAGATAATCGAATACCGAATTCTATGTATTTAACTAAGTTAAATCATTTACACTATAAATTACTATAGCAACAACACATTAGATGAAGCTTATTTTCAAACAAACTAGTCATTAATATATGACATAATAATATTTTTTTAAAAAAACAACTAAATATGATGAATAATTTCTGCAATGTTTTGTTGTTGTTGTTGTTGTTGTGTGGATTGCAATCATGGTAATTGTTGTTGTAATTTGATATACTACCAATGTTTATAGTGTAATAAATGTTGTTCCTTATTCAATACTGGAGAATATATGTATATATATATATGTACATGGGTGTGTAATAAACAAGTTGAAATGGATTAAGAGTAACATATGAGAAAGTCATTAAAACAACAACAGTGGCAACAACAACGGCTTGAATATTTCAAAAGATTCACAAAGAAATAGCTCTGATTGGGTTAAGTTTATCTACAACATTCGAAATGCTTAAAAAGTGTATTGTATTCAATACTTTCAAGTATTTGTTTTTCTTCTATTTAATGAGTGAGTACTATAATATACTGGAGTATAATTTTTTTATGGAAGATGTCCCAGCTTAAATAATATTCATTGTTGTGTGTGTGTGTGTTTCCTTTTAATCCTGAATATTTGACTGTGAAACACTAATAGATGTTCGTCGTTACGTTGACTCAGTTATCTAGTGTAGATGTAGTGGACACGAACACAAGTGGGGACAATCGAATGTATTTAACAATCAAATAGTAAATACGTAATTTGCAAAATGTCGATCAATTGTCTCATGATGACTCAGACTTCATTGTTCTTGCATTTTCATATAAATTGCATTCTATTTTCCTTTTTTTACTGTTCGATCCTCTTGTCTCTCCACTGCCAGACCTGTTTACGACTAGCATCATCTACTACTTATGTCAATATAAGTAGCACACACCATATATATATATATATAAATAGGGTGAGGTTCACATATCTGACATAGTGGTTGAAAGTTAAACATCTTAACCACTGAGTGATCGTTTATAGGCTAACCTCAGATGAATGAAATGAAATCTTTAGTTAGAATAATACTTCAATATAAAGCACTTAGGAACTAGATGGAATAAAAAAATGAATACAACACATTTATTGTACTATGCAAATGTTATGAATCACTTAATTACATATACATTTTATCAGCTTAGGGTTGTGGACATTGTTGAGTCAAGATTGATATCATGGATGGATCGGTGTTAGATCATCATTGAAAAACTGGAAGTACTAGATGGCCGTTTCGTTCTAGTATGGGACTCCTCAACAGTGTGAATCACAATTAAAACTTAACAATTTTGACATAATAAGATGTGTATAACTTGAATTAGCATTGAATTCTTTGAACTATGAACGCTAATCAATTGAAATTTTGTCTTTATTATTAGTGTCTGTGGGGTGAGAGGAAGTGACTGTGGCGATCGTTGTATTTTACAGTTTGCATTCTAGACTAACTTTAATTAGATGACTATTAAAAACCTGATTGCCATAAACATCTGTTTCGTTTAAATATATATATATTTCCCCAGTAGTATATGTCTACAGTGTTAACTAGGGTAAAATTCAATCGTTCCAGATTTGGCGGTATTAACGTTTAAACTTCTAACTGCTATCAATTCTTGATATAGTGTAATGATTATGCATTACAATCGATGACAAATATTTCACCCTTCCAACATGTGAGTAAATTCCACTAATCAAGGATGAAGATTTTAAATTCATAAAGGTTTACTATTGAGAAGTTCGATAATAGAACATAACAGATGTTCAATACATAGTAACATTCAACATTACTTAATCCCTGACAAATTCTACCTACAATGAAGATAAATTACTTGACAACAAGAATGAAATGAATTGTTTTTTACAATTAAACAATAGGATGTTTATTTAGATGAGTTTTTTTTAATTTCTCTAATATTGCGTGGCCAGACAACAATTTTAAACATTCTCTTTCTTTAGACTTATAAACTGATTGACTCAATACCCATACATACATTGTACTACAAAAAAATATCAAATATTGTTTCTCTCAAATAAGATTTAACTACATTGTTATAAATGACTTATATACAAGGCGGCCTACTTGAATATCTGGACTATCTGTTCCTGTCATCTAGATATTTCAACAAGTTATCTGTTCCCTTGTCTGTTCTAACAGATCATTATGTCAATTAATTGCATAATCTATTCAGGTGCATTTGTGAAGAGGTTACGATATTTCTCTGTACAAGTTATGATTGAATACAATCAGAGACATTGTGTTTGCTGGCAATATGCATCGAAAAGAGTGTACATGATTCAGATGTGGATTGACTGGACTGCTAACATCTAACTAATTGGCGGTCGACCAATATTTAACATGAAGATCGATCAAGAAATAAGAAATGGGCGACTTGTTGAAATACTTTGTGGTGACAATTCTATATTGTACTAAATATATAATATTGAATAAAGCCACTAATAGTAATTATAATCAATATATCTAATCTTCACTTTTGAATTCTCCAGAAAACTGAATCAAAAATGGGATAACTGAGATTTCGAGTTATACTTTAAGTTTAAAAGAACTATTGAGATATCATTCAGTTAATTAAAATGAAATAAATGAATACGATATGATGAAGAAGAATTGTAGCTCAGGTGGATGATTTTTGATAGAGTTTTATTCTCTGAGCTAGATGATTTGGTCATGGAACTTTCATCATTCTTCTGAACGATATTATCAACACAAACTTCAAGTAGAACTCTAAGATGTAAGTACATCCAACTGACGAGTCTCAAATAGAACGAAACGCACATGTTGATTTCTACTATTAGCCACTATCCATCTTTGATATGAATTGTGATCAAAATCATTTTAATTTGTACGTTAATTATAAAACAAATAAATTGCTTATTTACAGTTTTCTAATCAATGCCAATATTCTACTGAATTTGACAAGAGAAAGGAAAACAAAAAACGCTATTCACGCAATCATTTTTACTTATAACCAATCAAAAGATAAGAAATATAAAGTGACAAAGGGGTGGAATAAATATTTATATCCAAATTGATACTACGCATATTTCATCCTGTGGTCTTTCTTAAATTATCCAATCACAAACAAGATATTTCATACCATGGTTGTATATGGTAAAAGTAGTATACATAAGCAACAAGTGAAACATCAATTCTTTTATATTGTTGCCCAGGCAACTTAAAGATAGAAAAATAGGGAAAAAAAAATAGAAATTTAAAACCAATTCCTAAGAAGAAAAGAAAAATCTGAAAATTGATTTTAGATTGTAACAAATTTATCATTATTACTAATGTACACACAGACACATACACACATATATAGATACACAGAAGCATATTATTTCATGCATGCAAACACAACATCACCAATTTTGTGGAATAGACGAGAAGGGAGCAACAAAAGGAAATGTAATGTAGAAAATGAAACCTAAGAGTTAGTGAAACATTTTAAGCCATACATTAATCAGTTCTTTAATGTGAATCGTAAACATAATTGGTCATAGGAGTTAACGAAGAAAGTGTATCTATCTGTATATGTATTCGCGTGTGTACACATGTTTAAAATCTATGGTGAACAAGTGTGATTAAACAAATAAACACATACACACACACGTACAAAGAGAAACAAGCCGGTACACATCTCACTTTACAAGAATAAATATTGAAGAAAAAAAACCTTGTGCATATACAAGCATCGTATATACAGAAATATACAAACACTGTTTGATATATTATCAATTTTTGTTGTAATACTCTCATTTTACATTCTACATTGAACATCATCAACATCATCATCGTCATCATCATTATCACCATCCAGTTAGTGTCTTGGTATTATTCATTTATTCAATTTTTAATGTATTATATTACATCTATGTTATATTAGAAAAGCAAGAATTGGAAGACGATATGCGAAATACGAGATAGTGAACAGTTTTTCTAGTAAAAAAAAAAGAGTATTGACTTACCTAAAGCAACAAAAAAACGTATTAGTAATAAATTAACTGAGAATACGATAAAAGGAAGTAATGTACAGTATAAATGTCAGTAATAACAACGATCAGAATACTACTAATACTATAGTAGATGTAAGTAGTACATTATCTGTTCAAATTAATGAATTATATTATGATGGGAAATATCATAATCTACCGTCTACTGAATACACATCATCATCATCTTCATCTTCTTCGGGATCATCGTTGTCATCATCAACATCATTATCACTGACAACAGTATCATCGACTTCAACAACAACAACAACAATAATAAATGAATCCAATTATATTTCATATGCTACTAGTGGTCTTAATCAATCTCGTCCAAGTTTAAATTATACTTATGAACAGCAATATTATGTAAATGATAATCATGAAGAATTTGATAATAAACATCATAATTACTATCAACAACATCATCATTATACACCAATCATTTCAACTGTACATACTACTAATAATAATGATAAAACTAATAATAGTAGTCTATATATTTCCACTACTACAACTTCTAATGATAATAATCATAATGGTTTTTTTAATGAAATACAAATTATATGCATTTGTGAAACATTACAACAACGTGGTGATATTGACCGATTGGAATTATTTTTACAAACATTACCTAAATGGAATATACAATTACATAATTTAGAATGTATACAAGTTGCTAAAGCACTGATTGCATTTCATCATGAACAATATACTCAATTATATCATATATTAGAAAATTGTAATTTCTCACCTATCTATCATTCTAGATTACAAAATTTATGGTTACGTGCACATTATGCAGAAGAAGAAAAAATTAAAGGTAGAATATTAGGCGCTGTAGCTAAATATCGTATAAGACGTAAATTTCCATTACCACATACAATATGGGATGGTGAAGAGACAAGTTATTGTTTTAAAGAAAAATCTAGAAATCTTTTACGTGAATGGTATCATCAAAATCCATATCCATCACCACGTGATAAAAGACAATTAGCTGAAATTACTGGATTAACTATAACTCAAGTATCAAATTGGTTTAAAAATCGTCGACAACGTGATCGTGCTACTGATGTACTTATAACTACAACAACAACAACAACAACTGTGACAACTACGACAACAATGTCTAAAACACCAGTTATGTCACCAATATCGGTTAAAACAATGATGACATTGTTACCAACAGTTGTATCTATGTCAAATGATTCACCAACTTATCAGTTGTCGACAATAACAACAAATGGAATTACTCAATCGGATATCATCAATGAAAATTCAGATATTTTACCAATGAATGAGTTGAATACACAATATAATAAAATAAACAAGTAAGTGATTGTGTTTTCTTCATTTATTGAAATGCATTTCTAATGTTTACTTTATGTTAGAATAGGGAATTCAGAAAGATGATAGAATCTTCATGGTCTAAATTATGAACTCAGTTCGATTAGACCATCAAGGGAAAACAATACATATTTGACAGTTATCTCATTCTCATATTACACTAATCAGTAGTATTCATCTACAAACACATCAATGACAATCAAATTACGGAAGTCCTGTCTCCCACACCAACTTTTAATATCTACATCATTAAACTAGCATCAAATCACATACATATCTAACTACAATTAATTCACCAATTCACACAATGATCATACATCACCCGAAATGAATAACTATTTCATACTCGACATTGATTGAACTTAAACTATCAAAAATTCTCACTTGGACTCCACCAGTTCCATCTTCACATTATTATCCAATGATCAACACATGAATATTATCAGTATGGTGACGAGATCTGTAGAGAGTGTAGAATTTTCATAGTTCCAATCACAAGTAACCGCATTATCGTGTTCGTCAAATCTCATTATCATACAAGTGAACTGAAATATAGAAATCGAACAATGACACTAACTGACTGACTGACTGATTGATTGATTGATCAGTTAGTTAGTTAAATTACGAGATAATTTTCTTTAATAATTGAATGTTGTGAATTAGTGAAGTGTGTTGAATTATAGATGACTGGTTAGTAATCAGTGTATTTGAATGACGCGGTTTACATCATGAAGTGACTGTAGTTATACATGTCAAGAAAATCAGAAATCAATAGATTGTTGTTTCGTCTTAGCATTATGAGACTCATCAATGTTTCTCTTCCATAAGTTCACTAAATTTTTAAGTTAGTTTTATTATATTAAATGTTAGTAAACTAATGAATCATTAAAACTGTTTATATTAAAATCAAATCTTTTACTTAATGTTTCCTTGGTTGATATATTTCTAAAATGATAATGAACCAACTTCAATTAACAGTTCTTATTAACATTCTATCTTATTAATGATTAGAGTTGACAAATAAAAAGATTGATTCCAGTTACCATATGATTCGAACCAACGATTATTTAATATGAGGTTGGCTTTGTGGATATTATAATAATTTCAATGATTAAGATCATGAGTCAGTTGAAGCTAGACCACCATTGAAAACCTGGAAGCACTGGACGGTCGTTTCGTCCTATTGTGAGACTCCTCAGCAATGCGCATCCACGACCTCGCCTCGGGGTATTCGAACCCAGGACCTACTGGTTTCGCGCGTGAGCTCTCAGGTTTTCCATGGTGGTCTAGCTTCAACTGACTCATCATCTTAACCAGTGCGATTATTTAATAATAAATATATAGGTATCTGTGTGTGTTATATTTCAGTGAGTAGAAAAATTATATTCTTGATGTTTCGTGACTTAATGTAAGCCACTTCTTCAGAATGAGAAGTAGTGACTGTTTAAATTCAATGAGTGTCGAGTATGAGAGAATTATTCATTTCGGGTGATGTATGATCATTGTGTGAATTGGTGAATTAATTATAGTTATATATGTATTGGATTTGATACCAGTTTAATGATGTAGATATTAAAAGTTGGTGTGGATGACAGGATTTCCATAATTTGATTGTCAGTAATGTGTTTGTAGATGAATACTACTGATTAGTGTAATAATGTGAATGAGATAACTGTCAAATGTGTATTGTATTCCCATGGTAATCTAATTGAACTCAGTTCATTGTTAAAACTTTTAAAATACTGATAGATTGAAATGATATTGGGAGTTCGTTTCAAGTCCGTTGGTTTTATTTATGTCCTAGTTTGTTTTTTCTCATTATAATAATACTGTCATAATGTAGTAACAAATTTGAACTGTTCTTCTTTTTAGAATAAGAATGGATAATCTATGCTTTAGGAAATACATTTATTATACTACAGGAACCTAATCAACTGACATAATTAGTATCGGTTATCTGTGATCTAAAGATTCATTGTAGTTCTGTTGTGCTATGACAATGTATAGTAGAACTACAGTATCAATTCATCATTATTCATTCAGTATATTATTCAATAATTGGATAACTCGTTTTAACATATTTGTAGTACTATTCACTGGAGAATTATTAAACTGTAACATGTTGGTGATATCTTTCATCTTATGTAATAGGTTTTTTTCATGCTAATCTTAATAAGGTTGAAGACAATGAGATTGTTGTAATGAATGGTTATGTCGAATTGAAATCAAAATATTGAGCCAACATATAAATTGGTGGTTAGCAATGGAATCCAGGACGTGCGTTTCATCCTGTTTTGAGACTCGTCAATTGTATGTATCTGCATCTCAGAGTTCGAAATAGGAAAATATGCGAGTTCTGTATTTCATTAATAGCCAACATCTATCATTGCTTATAATGCTTGTGAATGAAGGCAATATCTAAGCAATTCGATACAGGATGCACATATGCTAATAAGAGACTGATCTATCACAGTCTGACTTATCAAACAAACGATACAAAATGAATTTAATATATTGACTTGAGTGTGTCGGTTTACTGTCGATGTTTACATATATAGACTATTATTTGAATTGGTAATTCAATGAGTTTATTTTCATTTTCAAAGTTGAATTTTATGTTAACTGATAAAGTATTTATCAGTTTAGAGAATTTTCTTAAGAGAGTCTTTTTCATGTTGACATAAATTTCATCTACATTACTTACTTATTTAGGCCTGCTACCTTAATGGAGCATAGGCTGCCGACCGGCATTCTCCAACCCACTCTGTTCTGGGCCGTTCTTACTAGTTTTATCCATTCATCTACATATCTAAGCCAAATACATTGTCTGAAGGTATCGGGTCAAATAAGCAACTTAATATGTAACATAAATGAATGAACAATAAATTAGAGATGCTGAAGAATTCATGACCACTCCGTTCATTTGGTTTTATAAAGTTCTTTTAATGGTGAACAGTATTGGATTCAAACATGGTTCAAGAGTTTTCATGATTCAACTAATACTTAGTAGATATTTACTAGATAGAATATCATCATTCTCCAGTTAATCATTGATAAACTTTAGCCATCTATTAATAGGAATATTCGTGTATAACAATATAACATCATACTATATCACTGTTTTGTTCTCTTTGATGATTAGATCTGAAATCATAAGAGTCTTTGGTGGTGTTGTGTAGAGGTTCTTTTGAAGTAATTTTAGTATATTACTTCAGTATTTAAGTAGAATATATGTTGGAGTGTTTACGAACTCTACTGTGAGTCTTAATGATATACCAGATATATCAATTTGTGGTAATCCATAAAAATGTGACTTGGTTGATAATTTGAGATATAAGGTAAATTAAAAGGGAATGACATTTATCAGAATAGAAGTTTGTGGAGATTTTAGAAATTTAATAGTTGAATTCATGGGTCGATTTAAGTTAGACAACGATTGAAAATCTGGAAGCACTGGACAGCTGTTTCGTGCGAGATCGAGGATCTTAAGTTAGAATCCAACGTGTGGGATCGTGAATTCACACCATTGAGGTGTTCTGTACTAGGATGAAACGACCGTTCAGTGACTCCAGGTTTTCAATGATGGTCTAGCTTAAATCGACTCATGAAATGACATTTATTCTTTAAGAAGTTCACTTGTTTTTGATTTAACATTATTTTCTAACCAAGAGTACCTGTTTTATAAAATGACTATAGACTGAGGTTATCTACAACATTCTCCACATTCAATAGACATGTGTTGTATCCAATAGTTTTAGTCATCTTTTCATTCATTAAAGCCTTTTTAGTGACAAGACATTGAGTATTATTGTTTATTTATCACTAACATTTTCATTTCAAACCCCAATTTTAAATATGAATTCATGCAGTACTTGGAATAGGATACATGTTCTTGAATTTTTAGAGCATCCGTTCTTCATTATTCAATATATTCGATATCAAGCATTTACAGTTATTTTTCCATTCACTTAGTGAGTAAGTATTTCATTTCAAGTTCTAACTTTCATGTTATTTACATTTTTCGTCCAGTAGTTTGGTATGCACTGCATTGTCATGTTCACAGAAGATATATGCAAGTCAGTCATTTACTCAGTCAGCTACAAAGTAGGACCAGGTACATATATACGTCGGTCCAAGTTATCATACCTTGTTAATACAACAAGATGAACACCGAATTCATAGAAGCAGTTACTTCAGTGGTGGTAATATATTTCAAAAAAAGATTGCATATAAGAATATGATACATGGAGAAAGAATTAATTCGTAGGAAGAAAGGTATAAAGTAGTTTTAATCTCACAGTTTAAGGGAAGACAAACAATGTATACGCCTACGCCATTGTGATGGATTCTGAACTATGTCACCCACAGTCTCCAACCATTGATAACTATAGTCGCGCGGACCCCAACCAAGTAGTTTGCATCTATTAACATGGCTCTGACTAGAAGTTAGTGACTTCAAACACTATTGTCATGTTTTGGCTTGACTGCCCCCAACTTTCTTCCAACCGTTTCTCCAGCACTAGTCAGCATTGCGCGTCGTGGTAAACAGCTTTAGATGATGACTCGTTTGTTACAAATCTTGTTAATTTTATTTCATCGTATTAATCAACTACAGGAATTTAGGCTAACGAACATTTGTGCCAGATTTTATATCACTTATAACTGATAGACTGATTGATTAAGACAACCATTATTCAGTTACATAGATGAACCATAAGTGACTGAAACATCAGATTTTATTTTAATTACTTAACAACATGATAATGATCAGTAAAATCTCATACTCCTGATTTCAGTCTAATTCGAGTCAACAATTGGCACCAATGACAAGTTTCCTTGTTTAAAAGAAATTGTAACTTGAATCAATTTATGATATTGTGCAATCCTCATACATTGCCTGTAGTGAATAACTGTCTCAGACCCGACACAATTGTAGTTCACTGATTACGGTTATTAATTAGGTCTCCACCAGTTGTGTCATGAA